CAGGCGGATCTCTGTGAGTTCGAGGCCAGCCTGGGCTACCAAGTGAGCTCCAGGAAAGGCACAAAGCTACACAGAGAAACCCTGTCTCGAAAAAACCAAAAAAAAAAAAAAACAAAAAAAACAAAACTGTGGTAATCCTTGGGACAGAGCCCAATGTGGGGCTCTGTCTACAGGAAGAGATGCTTGACAATAAAAACAGTAACAGTGGCTACAGTGTTCCAGGCTCAAGCCAGGGCCTGTGTATGGTACACCTTTTAGTGAGTCCTCAACCCTCCCAGAAGAGTCCCAGTAAACACACTAAGAGAAAACTAAGGCTTAAAACAGTGCAGGAACGAGCCAAATGGCTCAGTGGCTAAAAACACTCACTAACAAGCCTGAAGACCTGAGATCAATCCCTGCGATTCACAAGATGGAGGGGAGAACCGACCGACTCCTGTAAGTCATCCTTTGTCTTCCAGGGGCACCCGGGCACTCTCAGTGCCCAAACTCACACACACACACACACACACACACACACACACACACACACACATACATACACACACACACACCTGCACACACACATACAACACAAAATGGAGTACAAGGCAGGAGTGATGGAGCGTGTCTGTAACCTTAGAACTCAGGAGGCTGAAGAACCAGAAGTTCTAGGTCACCCTCGGGTCCATAGGGAGTTCACTGTTGTGGAATAGAATATTTGTTAACTATGTAAAGATGTGCTGCATTTGTTTGTGTTGCAGAATAATTGTTTAACTATGTAAAGATGTGCTGCTGTTTCACCTTGCCTACCTAAGGTACCTGATTGGTTTAATAAAAAGCTGAACAGCAGCCGGGCTGTGGTGGCGCACACCTTTAATCCCAGCACTCGGGAGGCAGAGGCAGGCGGATCTCTATGAGTTTGAGGCCAGCCTGGACTACAGAGTGAGTTCCAGGAAAGGCGCAAAGCTACACAGAGAAACCCTGTCTCGAAACAACAACAAAAAGCTGACGGCCAATAGATAGACAGAGGAGGGATGGGGGACTGATGAGCAGAGAGAAAAGGGGAGCCAGCCAGCCAACCAGGGCCCAGCCAGCCAGACACAGAGAAAGCAGGAAAGCTGGATGGACAGTACGTAGATGAGGTAATGAACCTGGGGCAGCACACAGATAAATGGTAATGGGTTAGTTTAAATTAAAGAAAAAGAAGCTAGCTAGAAACAAGCCTAAGCTAAGGTCAAGCATTCATAATTAATAATAAGTCTCCATGTCATGATTTGGGGGCTGTGGCTGTCAGCCCAAGAAAGCCTGCTCCAGTTCAAGAACAGCCTGGGTTGTGAGAGAGTCCTGTCCCAAACAAACACACAAGGAAACCAAGTGCAGCCAGCCAGGCATGGTGCTGCTCACTTGTAATCCCAGCAATGAGGAGGGTGAGGCAGGAGAAATTACAAAAGTTCCAGGTCTGGCTGGGTGGTGGCGCACACCTTTAATCCCAGCACTCGGGGGGAGGAAGAGTCAGGCATATCTCTGTGAGGTTCCAGGCCAGCCTGGTCTACAGAGGGAGATCCAGGGCAGCCACAGAGAAACACTGTCTCAAAAAACAAACAGCTGGGAGGTGGTGGCACAAGCCTTTAATCCCAGCACTTGGGAGGCAGATGCAGGCAGATCTCTGTGAGTTCGAGGCCAGCCTGAACTACAGAATGGGTTACAGGAAAGGCGCAAAGCTACACAGAGAAACCCTGTCTCGAAAAGACAAAACAAAACAAAAAAAGTTCCAGGTCTGGGGAGATGGCTCAGCAGTTAGGAGCACTTGTTACTTTTGCAGAGGACCTGGATTCAGTTCCTAGCACCACATGGCAGCTCACACCCCCTTTAACTCATATTCCAGAGGATCTGGCACCCTCTTCTTGCCACTGAGGGCACCAGGCACATGCGTAGTACAAAGATATACATGCAGGCAAAATATCCACACACATAAAATAAAAATAAATAATTTGTTTAAAAAAATTAAAGCAGAAAAGAACAGGTATTGTTGGGTTCTCACCATTCATGCCACATGGCTTACAACTATAACTCCAGTTCTAGGGGATCTAATGCCCTCTTCTGGACTCTTCAGGCACTGCACCCAGATGCAACTACCCCCACATATTTACACACACAGCTAAAAAATAAAAATAAGAGCTGGGCAGTGGTGGTGCACACCTTTTATCCCAGCACTTGAGAGGCAGAGGTAGGCGGATCTCTGTGAGTTCGAGGTCAGCCTGGTCTACAGAGCGAGTTCCAGGATAGCCAGAGCTACATAGAGAAACACTGTCTTAAAAGAAAGAAAGAAAGAAAGAAAGAAAGAAAGAAAGAAAGAAAGAAAGAAAGAAAGAAAGAAAGAAAGAAAGAAAGAAAAAAGAAAGAAAGAAAGGCTGGAGAGATGGCTCAGTGGTTAAGAGCACTGGCTGCTCTTCCAGAGGACCCAGGTTCAATTCCCAGCACCCACATGGCAGCTCACAACTGTCTGTAACTCCATTTCCAGGGGACTCTCACACAGACATACACACAGGCAAGACACCAATGCACATAAAATAAAAAATAAAATAAAAAAAGAGTCTGTACTAATTGTGGACAGATATCTATCCTATGTTTTTCATTTGTGGTGGTAGGGAAAGAACTCAGGGCCTCATATACGCTGGGCAAGCACTCTATCAACTGTGCTATAGGCCTAGCCTTCATGTCATTATTTCTTAAACAGTACAGAAATACAACTATTTACATAGGACTTATCGTATCGGGGATCAATAACATAGAATGATTTAAGGGGCTGAGTAGTGGAGCTCTTGCTTAACTCACATGGAACCCTAAGTTTGATCTTCAGCACCTAAAAATGAAAAAAGTATTATATATGTGTGTGTGTGTGTGTGTGTGTGTGTGTGTGTGTGTGTCTATATATAATGGTTTAAGGTATAAGGAAGGATTCCACATGTTACATACAAATACTAGCCCCATCTGGCCCTGAACTTGTTTTTTTTTTTTTTTTTTTTTTCCAGGACAGGGTTTTTCTGTGTAGCCCTGGCTGTCCTGGAACTCACTCTGTAGACCAGGCTAGCCTCAGACTCACAGAGGTCCGCCTGCCTCTGCCTCCTGAGTGCTGGGATTAAAGCCATGCACCACCATGCCTGGCTAAGCACTGGCTGCTCTTGAAGATGACCCATGATAGGCTGTAAACTCTTGATGCTGTGCCTCAGTATCTGGAGGGCCACACATCATGCAGTATTATACCTTGTTATTTTAGCTTTTTTTTTTTTTTTTTCTTAGAAGGGATTTTAAGTAGACCAGGCTGGCCTTGAACTCAATATATAGCCAAGGGTGGTCTTGAATTCCTGATCCTCCTGCTACCACATCCCAAGTGCTGGGGTTACAGGTGTGTGCCAACACATCTAATATATTATATAAAGGACGTGAGCATTCGAGGTTTCTGCTGTAGGTAGGATCCTGTTATCAACCTTCAACAGACACCTACAGGTGACTCTGTTCACCAAAGAGGCTCACAGCAAACCCAAAACTTCACAGAGAAGATGAATCTAGACAGGATGAAGGAAGGGCCGAGGATGAGAAATGGGGGCAGTGCCTAGGAGTCAGATGTTAACACAGTGGCAAAATGATGTGTCTCAACACTGCAACCGAGGCAGGGCTCCCCACGAGAAGCCAAGTTCAGCAGAGGAAGGGGAAGCCACAATGATAGGGTTACTTGTGAACCACGTCCTTCTGGAGTGCTATCACTTCAAAAAAGTCATTTCCTCCCATTTTTCTTTGCTTGAGATAAGTGGAGGAAAGAGGGCCTTTTAGTCTGTAATCCCTCGATTTGGACGATTTGGACGGTAGAAGTAGGAAGGTCAGGAGTTCAAGGTCATTTTTAGTTTAGTGAGTTTGAAGTTAGACTGTGGGAGACCCTTTCTCAGAACAAAGAGGTGGGGACACATTAAGGAGGAGAGAAGAAGAACACGCAGGGACACAGGGAAGGCAGTTAGTCTTCAGGGCTGTCTGCTGGAAGGTGCACTGTGTACATTCAGCTGCTGGAGTCTGTATGCCTTGTTTTTGGTGGACAAAAGTTCTGAAGGGAAAGAGACCATGTGAGAACATTTTTATGGATTCCTGGGAAACTGCTTAAAGGAGCCTATGAAGAAAGATACACAGTACTTCTGCCCTATTATGACTCTCGAGTGTCTCTTTTTCAATCTATCTTGTTTGTTTATTAATTTTTGGTTTTTCCAGACAGGGTTTCTCTGTGTAGCCCTGGCTGTCCTGGAACTCACTCTGTAGACCGGGCTGGCCTCGAACTCATGGAGATCTGCCCGCCTCTGCCTCTGGAGTGCTGGGATTAAAGGTGTGCGCCACCACCGCCCCCATCTTCCTTCCTTTTTTTTTTTTTTTTTTTTTTTGAGACTAGAGCTCATTATGTTCAAAGCTCAGAGTGGCTTTGAACTCACGACTTTACTTCAGCTTCCTCAGTACTGGAATACAGAAGTAATCCACTATCCTAAACTTCGTTTCTCATCCTCGATACTTTTGTAAGGAGTGCCCCTCTGGGGTAAATGGTAGGACCCTTACAACTGCAGCATCCTTCCTTCACCTTCTTCGGCTTCCCCGTGCTCTCCAACTCGAGAGCCGGCCTGGAAAGAACTACATTTCCCGTCGACCTCTGCGCTCCACACCAGGAACGTTTTCCTTCCGGCCTGAAGCCGTCTACTCCTGGGGTCGTACCATTTCCGCCCCGCCGGCCCTCAGGTACGGCCTCCCTCCTCTTACGTAAGCCCCGCCCACTCTACAGGCCTCCCCCGGAGGGCGTCGCTCTCCGCGCCATCGTGAGACCTATTGGCTCTTCGGCACCACTCGGGCGTGGCTACGGGACCCGGGCGGGCCCATTCCGCACAGCGGCTCAGGCGTTCGCGGTGGTGGCGTCGAAGCATGCACGCGGCAGGTTTGGCGGCGCCGGCGGGGACGCCCCGGCTGCGTAAGTGGCGTACGTGGCTGGCTGAGGAGATCGGGCGGGCGAGGGTGTGGCGGGGCCGTCGCGGCGGTTGGCGAGGTCACTCCAGGTCGGACGGAGGTCAAGAGATCCAGGACCTGGAGATTCTAGGTGTGCACAGCGCAGGGATGCCAAGTCCGGGTAGGGGGCGCATTGCGGGTAAATTCCTTTAAAAGGAAGCAAGTTGGAGTAGAATTTGGTGTGATGCTCAGAGAAACGCGGCTTCCATTCATTTGCAGTCAGCGATTTGCCCTACTGTGCTCCCCACTTTTCAGAGGCTCCCTAGTGCCCACGGGCTGTCACCCACGCTCCATAGTACTGCCGCCTGGGCACTCCGTGTGCGGACAGGGCCACATTTACACCCCATTTACGATCGGAACCAGTGTTTATCGTCCTGTTAACCTCCTTTCCCCAGCTGCGAATCTGAATTCCTCTTTTAAGTTCCTCTTGGGGTCTCTCTCTCTATCTATCTATCTAGTGTGTGTGTGTGTGTGTGTGTGTGTATGTATCTATCCTGTTTGTTTCGTTTATTCTTCTAACATATCTTAACTCCAGTGACCCTTATGCCAGGCCCTGGACTGGAATTTGGGCACACACTAGTAACCACCAAAGCCCTGGTTCTTGCTTTCTTACAGCTAAGAGTTGAGGAAGAAGACATTTAACTAGGAAGCAAATGTGTCAGTCAACAAGAGTAGCTGAGTAATAAGTAGAGAGAGTGATCTGGGATATACTAGGGCCTGAGGAGGATCCGTTTACCCCCTTCACTCTAGCATTAGTGTCTGGCAGGCCGGTGATGTGTGATGCAGGGGAGCCAGCAGAGGCCAGCTAGCGCTTGTTCCTGCCCTCATGGAACTGCCCGTACAGAGCAGAGGTCACGGACAGCCTGAAGCAATGGGACAGCTGTGGCAGAAGCACAGGGAGTGAGGTGCCCTGGGGCACACCTGTGACCCCAGCACTTGGGAGATGGAGGGAAGAAGATTGTGGGTTCAAGGCCTGCCTGGGCAACATGGTGTGATTGTCTTTAAAGAAAAAGGGGGGCATGTCAGGAGTGAATTCCGAGATGGCTCCCAGTAAGAGTACTTGCCACCAAGCCTGACTACCTGAGATTGATCGATCACCTGGGCCACATGGTGGGAGGAGAGAACTGACTCCTAAAAGTTGTTTTCTGACCTACACACACACACACACACACACACACACACACACACACACACACACACACAGAGTTAAGAATTAGTTCTTTCTGAAAAGAATGCTGAGCAGACGGTGGTGTGGGGTGCACGGGCTGGTTGGAGCCGTGGAATTCAGGATTGAAGTATCGATGCTTCCTTGGAGAGCGCATACCTGATGAAAGCCTAGGGGATTCATGGAGGGAGAGGCTGTGGAGTCCTGTGCCAAGAAAATAAACAGTTGAGTAGATACGGAGGGGCAATAGGACCCTGGGCATTATGAGAGGGAATGAGTGAAGGAGGTCAGCAGAAGGGAACACTGAGCAGAGTCCCGAGTGTGACATTGGCAGAGTGAAGGGTGTTCCAGGACGATATTGTTGCATGATGAAGCGGGGTTTGTCAAAGGTGGGACCTGAGAGGAGGCCCTGGGGCTGGGACCAGAGTGGCTGGCAGGCCTGTTTGAACTTGGTTCACAGCACAGTGCTCCCTGATCTCAGGCAAAAGATGAAAAGGTTTATGGTCATTTAAAAGGATCATGCAGGTGACATGGCACAAGTACTTGTGAGGCAGAGGCAGGAGGATTACCTGTGAGTTCAAAGCCAGACTCAGCTACAGAGAGAGTCCCAGAACAGCAAGAGCCACATAGTGAGGGAGCTGGAGAGATGGCTCAGAGGTTAAGAGCACCAACTGCTCTTCCAAAGGTCCTGAGTTCAGTTCCCAGCAACCACATGGTGGCTCACAACCATCTGTAACAAGATCTGGTGCCCTCTTCTGGCCTGCAGGGATATATGCTGTATACCTAATAAATAAATAAATCTTTAAATAAAAAAAAAAAAAAAAGAGCTACACAGTGAGAACTGGTCTTAAAAAAAACAAAGAGCTGGACGGTGGTGGTGGTGGTGGTGGTGGTGGTGGTGTACACCTTTAATCCCAGCACTTGGGAGGCAGAGGCAGGCAGATCTTTGTGAGTTCGAGGGCAGCCTGGTCTCCAAAGCGAGTTCCAGGAAAGGCGCAAAGCTACACAGAGAAACCCTGTCTCGAAAAACCAAAAAAAAAAAGATATGATTATCACAAAGCAAGGACTGGTGGTGTAGGCCTATAATCCTCGCTGCTTGGGAGGCTGAAGCAGATCTCAAGTTCAAGGCTAGCCTGGCTTACATAGTTAGTTCCAAGTCAGCCTGGCCTGAAGAACTTAGACTCTGTTTTTTGTTTGTTTGTTTTGTTTTTTTTCTACTGAGACAGGTAGCCCTGGCTGGCCTGGAACTCACTTTGTAGACCAGGTTGGCCTCAAATGCACAGAGATCCGCCTGCCTCTGCCTCCTAAGTGCTGGGATTAAAGGTGTGCGCCACCACACCCCAGCAAGACCCTGTCTTTTAAAAAAAAATAAAAAGAGGGCCAGTGATGCAGCTAAGCGGTAGAACACCTGCGTAGCACGCACAAGGCCCTGGTTTCCAATGCTCCATACTTCAAAAGAAGTATCTAGCTGCCTACTGGAGACTCCTTGGGGGGGGGGGGGTGTGTGCTAAGAGTAGGCAAGGAGCCTGGCATAGTGGTACACACTTGTAACCCCCACACTCCACATGAGTTTGAAGGCAGCCTGAGCTACATAGCAAGGCCCTGACTCAGAACACTGGAAGGAAAAAGAAACAGAAATTAGACAGGACCAAGTGAGATGCTTATGTCCAATAGGCAGTGGTAGGAACAGAGGGGAGGGGAGGAGGCACTGGGTGGGAAGTAGGGGACTTGGCTGGATGTCAGAGTGGCTGGGTGGGCAGAAAGGTGAAGCCTGGAGGTAGAAGACCTGAGGCTGGGCCCAGAAGGCCTCAGATCAGCTGGAGATGGAGGCCAGATGCCAAAGGCACTGTGGATTCGAGAGCTGATCGTGAGCAAGATTGCATTCAGTGAGAGGAGCAGAGGAGGGCAAGGGTGGAAAATTGGGTCACCCATTTCCGGGAGCTGGAAAGGACCCAACCCAGAGGAGGCCCAGGAAGGCAGGAGCATTGGCTGTCTGGTCTGCTGCTGCGTCTACAGCAGGCGCTCAGGACACAAGTCCTGGCCAGATGTTCCTGGGGTGAGCGTGCGAGATGAGTCAGTGGCTGGAGGTTGGCACCACCTGGGTGGCCGGCACCAAATGCTTAGGAAGGAGCGGAAGAGTGAGCTGGGCCTGAGGTATAGGCCTGTTGTCCTAGATACTTGGAAGGTTGAGGCAGGAGGCACTTGAGTTCAAGGCCAACCTGGGCCAGCTGCACAGGAAGACCCTGTTTTTAAAAAGGTGAGGGAGAGCTGGGAGATGACTCAGTCAAGGGCACCTTGCTCAGGTGTAAGGACTTGAGTCCCCGGCACCCACGTAAATAGGTGGGCACGGCAGTCCTTGCTGTGATCCCAGCCTTGCCGAGGCCAAGACAGGATTCCTAGGGCTTGTCCAGCTCGCATAGCCAGATCAGTGAGCTCCAGGTTCAGTGAGCGATCCTGGCTCAAAATATAAGGTGGAGAGGATCTGAGAGACAGCTAGTGTTGACCTCTGGCCTCTGCACACGCATGCACCCTGAGTGCACACACAAACATGTACACCCAGGGTTAGAGAGTGTTTGTGGCTCTTACAGGACCTGGTTCTGTTCCTAGCACTCCCATGGTAGCTCAACAGCAGTCAAAACTCATCCACATTAAATACATGAGTCTTTCAAAACAAAAGATAACATGTTTACATAATCCCCCTGCCTCAGCCTCCTGAGTGCTGGGACTGCAGATGTTAGCCACCATGCCCAGCTGGAAGTTTATGGGAGTCTCACGAGGCAGTTTGATAGACCGCAGAGGAGACAGTTGAAGGGCAGTTCACCCATGGTCCCATTGCTCCTCCTGGTCTTGCAGTCTCGTGTACTTAGTTCCCTGTGCCACAGCAGTGCTAGCCTGCTCAACATTCGGGATCTGGGGCCCTGGGGCTAGCCCCATCTCCCCAGACAACACCTCCCACCCCTGCTTAGACCAGTCTTGGGAAGGAGGGGATTCCTCCACTTCCTCTCCACACCCCAACCCAGCACAGCTTCAGCATGGCCTGCCCCCTGGCTCTGTTCATAAATGGCCACTTTCAGTATCCCCACCCCCAGCAATGGCCACCCTGGTCTCTAGCCTGGAACACTCAGCTGGTTCCCCGCCCCCACAAAGTCAGATGGGACTTTTACAAATTATTTTGGGGTTTTGTTTTGTTTTATGCCATGCTGGGGAACTGAACCCTGTATCTTGGAGCCTGGTACCTGGATTATGCTTGGTTAGCACTCTACCAGTTTTTTTTTAGTTGGGAGGGAGAAGGTTGTGCTTGTTTGTGTGTGGATGTGCCTGTATGTGGATGCTAGAGGGCTTGGTTTTGTTGTTTAAAATATTTTATTTAAATACACACACACACACACATATATATTTTATATATATGTGTGTGTGTGTGTGTGTGTGTGTGTGTATATATATATATATATATATATATATATATATATATATATATATAGTGTGTGTGTGTGTGTGTGTGTGTGTGTGTGTGTGTGTGTGTGTAGGCTAGGGGCAGTGTTCGATTCCCTGGAGTTGACTTTACAGGTGGTTGTGGGTGCTGGGAATTGAACTCGGGTTCTCTGGAAGAGCAGCAAGCATTCTCCATAGCTGAGTCATTTTCCCAGCCCCTCCACCTTGTTGTTCCCTTGTTTGTTGCTTGGGGGGAGGTGTTTGTCTTTTGAGACTGGCAACCTGTATGCAATCTTCCTGGTTGCCCTGGAATTCCATCTGTAGACCAGGCTGGCCTCGAACTCAGAGATCCCCAAGTACTGGGATTAAAGCCATGCAGCACCATGCCTGGCTGAGCAAGCTCTTGAAAGGGAACACGGTCTTGTACTATCTGACTTTGAACCTCAGCTGCTTCTTCTTTTTTAATTTCATGTGGTGTTTTTGCTTGCATGTATGTCCATATGAGGGTGTCAGATCTCCTGGAACTAGAGTTATAGACAGTTGTGAGCTGCCATGTGGATGCTGAGAATTGAACCCAGGTCCTCTTTGGAAGAGTAGCCAGTGACTTTAACCACTGAGCCATTTCTCCAGCCTTAACCTCAGGTTTTTTGGTCTGGTTTTTTCACTCTATAAAATGTGGACAATAGGGGCTGGAGAGATAGATGGCTCCAAGGTTAAGAACACTGGCTGCCCTTCCAGAGGTCCTGAGTTCAATTCCCAGCACCTCATGGTGGCTCACAACCATCTGTAATGAGATCTGGTGTCCTCTTCTGGCCTGCAGGGACACATGCAGACAAAACACTATATATAATAAACTAATAAGTCTTTAAATAAAATAATACATGGACAGTAGCATGCTGCCTTGAGAAGCCCATAGCCTCCCCTGAGTACATCTTACTTTCTGTGATTCTTCGAGAAGCCCATACCATGCTCTCAGTGTGTCTTTTTCTGAGAGCCTCTTTCTTAACCTTGTGCTTAAGCCTATATTGGAATATCTTTATTAAATACCAACTCTGCCTTACTAACAATAATTTTTAAATGCTAACAGCACCAATTGAGTCAGGCTGGTTGTGAGTGAATGAGCGGAGGTATCGTGTTGTACATGCGGTGTGGGGTCAGTGCTCCATCAGGGTTAATGGTCATAGCACTTACGACGAGACACTCCGGGCTGTACACCTGCTCTACTGTGCACTGAGCCCGGGCTTTTGTTCTAGCCATGGGCCTGGCTGGGCGTTATTTTCCATGTGTCCAATAGGGTGAGTGCACAACCTAAGCCTGCTGGAGGAGCTGGGTGAGTCGGCTGTGAACAAGGTGCTGTTCCCACCCTGGGGTGGGGGTCCTTCCAGTGAACAAAAGAAGCAGGTCGTCCGCGGCGGCGGCGGCCGCTCAGTGCTGGCGCCATCAGTGGAGGAGGGATTGGTGGGTGCTGCCGAGAGGGGCCCTGAGCTGTCTGTGCCCAGTGTGTCAGGGAACACGGAGAAGCCCAGCGGGGCCGACTAGGGAAGACAGGGTGGGAGGAGGAGGAAGAGGCCCTGTTTGTAATGGTGGCACAGGATTGTGTACCAGGCCCACGGAGCTCTCATCACCACCCTCACCTGTGTCTAGATAGGGACACACGAGGGGTGAGGGGGGGCGGGTAAGGGAAGGATGGGTGATGGACAGGTGAGCTGGTGATGGCCTCTGGGGGGGTGGGTAAGGGAAGGATGGGTGATGGACAGGTGAGCTGATGATGGCAGCTGAGGGGGTGGGTGAGGGAAGGATGGGTGATGGACAGGTGAGCTGGTGATGGCCTCTGAGGTGGGGGGTAAGGGAAGGATGGGTGATGGACAGGTGAGCTGATGATGGCAGCTGAGGGGGGGTGGGTGAGGGAAGGATGGGTGATGGACAGGTGAGCTGATGGCAGCTGAGGGGGGGGGGGTAAGGGAAGGATGGGTGATGGACAGGTGAGCTGATGATGGCCTCTGAGTGCGGGGCTGTTAGGGAAGGATGGGTGATGGACAGGTGAGCTGGTGATGGCC